GTTACGGTGGCCAATTTACCATTTCAACTTTGTTGATATATTCAAATTATCATGTTGAAAGAGCCTTCAGAGTTCTGAATGTCTTATTGGTCTTCGCAGCCTCTCGCTTACTACATTTATAGACAACAAAAGCACCATCCTAGTACTATGAAAATCTTTCAACGTTTGTCCAACGTTTTTCTATTTTATGCACTGTGAAAAAACTATCTATAAAAAAGTTTGAAAACCTCAATTTACCCGAGGTGCGCACGTCAGGGAATAAAAACAATTAGGATACACTAAAATAATGGATAGCGTTGAAGGTGCACTCTGATTGGCTATTGAAACTCCAGATATCCTTTGCTATTCACCTTCGACCAACGCGCGCGACTTTGCGCCCGAAAAAATTGCAGTCGTGGTAGGAATAAATGAGTTAAAATAAATTTTGTGCTATATTATCTCACGGTTTTTTTAATATATGATAACAAAGATTTTCACCCTAGTATCGGTGGCTAGCAGTAGATATTTACCTGGCCGCTTGGCGTTTTGTAAATTTCCACCACTAGCTACCTCCTCTTCGGCGATTGGTCGTTAATTATCATTTCATCTATTTTATCTTTTGCAAATGACACTTAATGACGGTAAATAATATACAGTGATGGTGGATGATGTGCGTTGAGCTTGCCACCAAGGTGCATTACACGGCGAATAAGTAAAATGAAGTACATCAACGACGGTAAAGGATATCAAGTGTCGACAAAAGCGAATCCTGGTGATCCACCCGTTCCTTGGCATCGCTGGTTCCAAAGTTTTCAAACGTACTTGGTCGCATGTGGTTTGGACGACAAACCCGTTACTGACGCCCGTCGACGAGCAATTCTTTTACATTGCCTCGGCACCGAAGGTCAGCGCGTATTTTCATCGCTCAATGCTGGCTCTGATTCGTACGAAGAATCTACAGCCGCCCTCCACCGACATTTCGGGCCCAAACATAGTGTAATTATGTCTCAGTATAAGTTTCGCCAAAGAAATCAACAGGCCGGCGAATCGGTGATACAGTTCGTCGCGGCGTTGAGGGGACTCGCAACGTTCTGAAATTTTGGAGGCCTGTGTGAAGAAATGATACAGGACCAACTGATTGAGAAGACAAGCGTGAAACGGATCCGAGAACGTCTGCTGTTGGAACCAGACTCCCTAACGGTCGAGCGTGCAATTCAGCTCGCCCTTCAAGTAGAAACGGCCCTGCTGGAAGCTCGCACATTGCAACCGTCCCAAGTTCAACACGTCTCGCGGAAACCTTTCCGTGCTCACGAAGAATCGAAACACCTTCCCCCTCTAGCAGCTAAGTCATCTTCAGAACGTTGTGGCCGCTCTTCGGGAAAACGGTGCACAAATTGTGGTTCTGGTTCACACAACACACATGACAAGGCCTGTCCCGCAGGTGGGGTGCAGTGTCGATCTTGTGGGAAAGCAAATCATTTTGCGAAATGGTGTCCCTCAAAACCAGCTGCAGTGAAACAAGTTGCTCAAGATCCCAAAAACGACGCGAAGGAGTCCGTAACGGTGTTTAGCCTGCGAAGGGAGACGAACGAAACGGGGTACAAGTCTTGCCAGGTCAGCATACAGGATGTGGAGTTAGATCTCCTGATTGATTTGGGTGCAAATGTGTCTATCATCGATGAGTCGACGTTCAAGAAACACTTTTCCTCACAAAAAGCTTGATCTGTTCAGCGCCTGGTCTGTTACAACAACGAAGAAATAGAGGTTCTCGGGGTCGTCAAGTTGTCAGTGGAGTACCAAGAACAACGCGTGGAGAGTTTTCCGTTCTATGTTACCTCGCGCGGAACCAGTCTTATGGGAATTGATCTATTCAACAGAATCGGGTTTCAAGTCACCCATAACGAAGTGCCAGTACTATCCGTCGACCTTGCTTCAAAGTTTCCTGAAGCTTTTCGAGAGTTTGGTAAAGTTATCGGGTATAATCACCGTCCTAATGTAGAACTCGCTATTTTTAATCAGTGCTGCGTTGCCCGTGTGCCGTAATTTCCGAGTCCTTACAAGCGCGACTGCTTCGCATGGCTCATGACGGTCATCCCNCGCACATTGCAACCGTCCCAAGTTCAACACGTCTCGCGGAAACCTTTCCGTGCTAACGGAGAATCGAAACACCTTCCCCCTCTAGCAGCTAAGTCATCTTCAGAACGTTGTGGCCGCTCTTCGGGAAAACGGTGCACAAATTGTGGTTCTGGTTCACACAACACACATGACAAGGCCTGTCCCGCAGGTGGAGTGCAGTGTCGATCTTGTGGGAAAGCAAATCATTTTGCGAAATGGTGTCCCTCAAAACCAGCTGCAGTGAAACAAGTTGCTCAAGATCCCAAAAAGGACGCGAAGGAGTCCGTAACGGTGTTTAGCCTGCGAAGGGAGACGAACGAAACGGGGTACAAGTCTTGCCAGGTCAGCATACAGGATGTGGAGGTAGATCTCCTGATTGATTTGGGTGCAAATGTGTCTATCATCGATGAGTCGACGTTCAAGAAACACTTTTCCTCACAAAAAGCTTGATCTGTTCAGCGCCTGGTCTGTTACAACAACGAAGAAATAGAGGTTCTCGGGGTCGTCAAGTTGTCAGTGGAGTACCACGAACAACGCGTGGAGAGTTTTCCGTTCTATCTTATCTCGCGCGGAACCAGTCTTAAGGGAATTGATCTATTCAACAGAATCGGGTTTCAAGTCACCCATAACGAAGTGCCAGTACTATCCGTCGACCTTGCTTCAAAGTTTCCTGAAGCTTTTCGAGTGTTTGGTAAAGTTATAGGGTATGATCACTGTCCTAATGTAGACACCACAGTAAAGCCAGTTTCACAGAAGCTGCGGCGTCTACCCTTTACGTTACGCGAAGAAGTTTCGAAGGAGCTTCGACGCCTGGAGGAGATTGATGTTATCAAAAAGATTGATTCATCACCGTGGATCTCAAATCTGGTAGTTGCACCCCGCCCCTCCGGGGAAATTCGTCTTTGTGTTGATTTGCGGGAAGTCAACAAAGCCATTATTCCTGACAAGTACCCTCTCCCTTCACAGGAAGAACTTATGACAGAGTTTAGCGGTTCCACCAGGATGAAGAGGATTGATGTTTTCATTGTGCACTTTTACAAGACTTTTTAACATTCAAGAAAGGATGAAGAGAATTAATGAAAGATTGATGTTTTCATTGTACACTTGTACAAGACTTTTTAACATTCAAGAAAGGATGAACTGCCTCGAAGACTGATTTTGTTCCGTCACTTCCAGTACGGTTATAAAGACACTAGAAGAATTGTTCACCAGATGGAGATTACCAGAAGCTGTCACTACTGACAATGGACCCCAATTCACATCTTTCGAGTTTACTGAATTATTGCGCTGTCAAGGGTTGAACATCGCGTTACTTCTCTCTACAATCCTCAAAGCAACGGTAGGGTGGAACGGTTCAATAGGACCACGAAGGAGGGAATCCAGGCATCCCTGGCGGAAAGAAAATCGTTCGCCGAAGCGGTTCGAACCACACTCTGCAACTATCGTGCTACTAAACATGCTCTCACCGGAACATCTCCAGCGGAGTTAATGATTTTCCGAAAGCTTATCTTGCCGTTGGATAATTTACAACCCCCTCAAACCTTTCAACACGCGGCTACCCCTCCACAGGCCGAATATGTTGCCACTAAGCAGAAAGCAAATGAAATCATACGTGGATACTGAACGCAAAGCCAAGGTTCCCTAAGTTCGATGTTGGTCATTGGGTTAGAGTGAAAAAAAAAACCAGTTCGCGGTCACAAATTGAGGCCCGTGCTTACTGAACCATTAGAAATCGTGAAGCGCATTGGTCCCTCAACCTTTCAGCTATGAGATGGCACCAAATGGAATGCTCGTAGGTTGGTTCATGTATTCAAGGTACCGGTTCCGAGTCCCAACACCGGTAGTTTCATCCATGACGCTCCATTTAGCACCGAGCCTGATCAGAATCTGGATCAACCTCAGACGAACCATGATTTTACTCATCAGTTCGGCCCTGCCTGATCTGGAGCCGAACAATTCATGTACTGCTGTTACGCGTCCCCAACGTGACCGACGTTTTCCTGTTAGACTTAAGGGTTATGAACTCAATTTCTAAGTATTTAATGTAGGAACTTAGCTTTTCTGATAATGAGGGAAAATGTAGCATAGCTGTCTGAAGTGTCTGTTGAAGGTGTTACGCACATACTTGTCAATGTTATGCGCTCTCAATAGTTGTCAATGCTCGTAATTAAGTATGTTAATGTAGACTATATTAAAGACGTGCACTGTAGTTTGAATTAGAAAGTAATTTGCGCATTTTGAGTGAACATTAAAGTTTTGTTGGATACTACATTTGGCAAGAAGACACGCTCGTATATTTGTCCTTGAACATCATCTGTTCCTCGAAGCTCACAGTTCTCTCCGAGCTTCGCTCTTGAAAACTTGAACTGTTGCTATCATCAGCTGAACAGTTCTCGGCTCAATGGTTGTACTTAGGTCCCCGCGGCCGGTTTAGGTAATGCCTGGCGATATGCCTGGCAACAAATGTATATTAGTATCAACATTCGTGTCTTTCCACAAGTTTGACGACTCGCTCGTGAACAGATATACTCAAATGGCGGAGGGTTCTTCGGCGGGTTTGCACCTTGACGAGGACAGTGGTAATCTGTTAGCTCACCCTATTAATTAGTGAACGTGAAAGAAAATTTATTATCATGATAATATTAATTTTTTAAGATTCCCCCGGCTTTCTTGTTATTTAGGAGTAATAACGAACTTGACAATTTTTTAAGCTTCCATGAACCAAATATTTAACAATTTAGCTGAAAAGTTGGTATGTATTATTGAAAGATGCGTTACATCGATGAAAGAGATCGGAACTACATATGTTCTTTATTCGTAAGGTCTTCTAATTTTTTTTTGTAGGAGAAACACCAGGTCAACTACTTTTGATGGTATATCAATTTGTGGAAATATAGGTGGTTTGCAACCAATCTCTAGAGACACAGGTAACAATGATGAAAGGAACAAATGCTGGTGGACGAACAAAAGAAGCTAATGAGATATCTATTGTTTACGTCCAACAACATGGCGGCAATGACGTAACATGCAAACCACCTATTTGTATACTGCTTAATGACATGTTAAAATTTTGCCCCCAGATGTCCCTCCACTAGAGGATATGTCAGAACTGATTAATCAAGTCAACAAATTACGAGAAAATGTGACAGCTAATCCTTCGTGTGATCAATCGGTAACAACTGAAGACATGCAGCCAAAGAAGAAGGCAGTGTCCTCTCAGGTAGTCTTGTAGAAGATTTTATTACACGACTCGGGCAGTCAGAAGGCCAATAACTAAAATCAACCAATCAAAATGCTCTATTACAGGTCAATATTCTCTCAGTATTGGACCGGGCACTGTCCCGAATGGTCCCTAATGATACAGCACTTGTGTCCCTTTGAACTTCAGTCGTATAATAAATCTCTTATTAACCAAGCTTGCTCGGGACCATACTGGAAGAATATCGGCCCTCTGTCTTTTTTGTACGGACCTCGCTGCACTTGGTCCGTACTGTCCAGACCTTGGGCCGCTATTCTCCCTGAGTATGGCCCTCGCGCTTGGTTAATGAGATATATTTATTTAATGTGTGTCCTGTTGATAAGAGTTTAATTTCTGTTTAGCCATTTGATAGCCATAGTTTTGCTTGTTGAAATGAACTGTGCATAGGGAAGAATAATATCACATTGAAAACAATTTTTTTCAAAAAAGTTACTGTGGATGAATATAATATTTATGTTGCATTTGTTAGGGTCACAAGTCTGCTCAAAATGAGAAGGCATTTGGTGGATTCAAGAAAGGTTTTCTGATGAATTCAAAACCTAAAAAGGAAACCTCCAACCCTATGTCAAAACCTATCAAGAAAGATGCTGATATTCCTGTCATCAAACCCAGAAATCCCAAACAAAAGGGAATGGAAATTCAAGAAGTTCAAGAGGCAATGAAATCTAGTGGTGAACCAAGCTTGGAAGACAAAGGTCTGGTTAATTTTCCTTAGTGTTCTAAGACAATAATTTTGTCGTAGAAAACTTAAGCCAGGGACAGAAAAAAATTAATTTTTCCATGAAAAACTAAGATCATCCAATTATTACCATGATGGATTGGGAGGTGAGGAATGAGGTTGTGAAATAACATGTTCCAAGAGGAATTTCATTTGTTCATGTGTAGAGTTTGCAAAATGTCTTAAAATTTTGTTATTGAGTTATTTGCATCTATCCAAATTAGCTTCCTTATTTTTAGAAAAGGAATCTTCAGTGGTTAAAAAAGAAAGAACAGTTTCCAGCAATTTACTTCTGCTTAAAACACATTAGCTGCCTGCCAATAATCTCAACAGACTATCTTGGCTCCTGTCTTGGTTTTCTTGGTGGCAGCTGACTAATTCGCCATTGACACCCATTTATTAGAAAAATTGAGTTAAACTATTGATTCCTTGCTACTGGAAATATCCAAACCCACTCATTCAAAGATCAATCAAATTTTTGAGGGGGCTGGAAGACTTTAAATCTACCTGAAAGTGTTCAAATTAAAGAATGATGTTAAAATGTAATTTTCTGGATAATGGATCGGGGACTCAACTAAAAGATGCTCCTGTGGGAAGGGTACATGTATGTGAATATCTTCTGAAACAAAAGCAAGTGGTAGGATAGGCTGTGTTATTAAAAAGGAAGTGAAGTCTTAACAATTTGCAAACATTAACTAGTGGTAAGATGGGCTGCATTATTAAAAAGGAAAGAAATTCACAACAAATTGTAAACATTAACTAGTAAGTAACAAATGTAGAAAGTTACCTTTCTGTTACTGCAGAGAACACTTCTGGTCTATGGAAATTATATTTAGGTTGAAGTAATGAATCAGTGTTCTCCTTGTTAAATAATTGTTTTAATTTGTAAAATCTAGACTGGGTTACTGAGGATCTTTTGAAGATAGTTCAGCATGAACCTGCACTATTAAACAGGCTCATGGATCCTAAGTTTAGAGCAGCTCTGGAACAAGTGGAAACAGATCCTGTGAAAGCATTGTCCATGCTTCAAAAGGACCCAGAAATGCAGAAAGTCATGCAGGAGTTTGGTGGGCTGATAGGGGATTATTTCACTGCTCTTGGAGATTCCTATGCTAAAGCCGTAAGTGTATTGCAGGGGTAGATTGTTATTGGTATATATTCCTCTACTCTTGTTACATTTAAGAGAAAGAACAATTCCAATAATCATGACAGAATCAATTTTGGAGCACAGATAAGACATGTTTTCTTTGTCAAAATCTTTTTAACAGCAATGCTTGGCAAAAATCTCACTATTTTACCTGTTACAAAATTAAAGCTGATCTCTTCCTCATCCCCCTCCCCTTATCAATGTTATCTGATGCTGGCTCCCTGTAAATTAACAAATGGTACACACCACAGCGTACACTATTGAGTTATGGATGCACGTGGGAGGTTGCTAAGCACGAAAGAGGCGTAAGAGGCACTCAAGGCGAAAGCCAAGAGCGACTCTAGCTTCTTGAGTGCTTAGCAAACCTCCCAAGTGCATCCATAACTCAATAGTGTACGCTGTGGTGTGTACCATTTGTTTTATAACATAACATTGATACATTGTAGCTAAAGAGTTCCCTTTTATTTAACAAATCTTACATGACCAGAAAAAAACAAGCACGCACGGAAAAATAGTCTTTGCATTTGCTCACGTCAGCAGCGTACACCCATGGGCAAATGGGAGATGCTAAATTGACCAATCAGAGCACGCGCTTTACTTTGGTTATGTTATAAATGGGAATTAGTCATTGATAGGTTACCTCTTCCCTTGTGATTCTGTTGAACTGCTATAATTATAGTACTACACCAGAAGTAGGAACTAAGGTCCCTGGGGCCCATTTCTCAAAAGGTAACTTAACAGGCCCAAAGCTATGTTTTAAAATCAAAATTTAAAGGATAGGAAAACAGGTCCTGACACCCAAAACAGTCCTTTTGCTCTTTAGCTGATAGTTTTATTGTATCATTTTCAAAACTTTTAAAATCCCCATCTTGAATGAAAACAGAACAGCTTTATTGGTCCATTAAGTTACTGGGACTTTCAAGAAATGGGCCTCAGCCACTTGGCAAGTGGCAACTAACATTACATAATCTTTATTTCTTAAGATAAAATCACATATCCCAAGTTACAACATAAACACACAAGGGAAACTATTACCTGTCATATTTAAAAATTATCCTATTACTAAAAACGTTCTTAAACCTTTCAGTGTGGATTCTAGGGACAGAGACTGATATATTTCTAATATTGTACCTCATGTTCTTTTCCTTAGGTAAAAATTGGAAATAAGGGCATTTGGGGTCATTTGATCTTTTTTTGTAGTGCCTTGTCCAGCTTCTCTAGCAAATCCCTGATATCTACATTCTTGGACATAGACTTCCTTTTCAAACACCGGCCCAAAAAATTCTGTATTATAGAAAGGTCTGAGTCTGAGGCACCATAAATCGCCAGGGCATAAGAAAAATTTGGTAAAACTATAGCATTAAAAAGGTGATCTACTTTCTCCTGGGACATTCCTCCCTTACGTAAAGATCCTAATATGAATAATGACTTGTTCGCCTTAATTACCTTCGCGCGCACGTGACTACTATATTTACAAGTGGCCCCAGCCACTTGGCAAGTGAGTTTAAAGTTAGTGTTGAGCCCTGTAAGGTGTAATTTTCCTTGTTTACTCCTTTTGCTTTACATTGCTAAATTTTGTTTTTTGAGTTGTTTAAAATAGAAAGTAAACGGTGCTCAAGGAAGTGACATTGGCATGACAGAGAGATCAAGAACAAGTCAACAGACTGCTGTACCCCCCTCCCCAGAGGATGAGGCCAAAATGAGAGATATTTTATCAGACCCAGAAGTGATGGAAGTGCTTCAAGATCATCAAATACAGAGATTATTACCCATGATGAAAAACAATCCGGAGGCAGCACAATTGTGAGTTGTGCTACAACTATTGGCTTACTGTTTGAGGCTCAGTAAGATTTTTCAAGTGACACAGATCCCACGGGGGATCTCCCCAAAGCTACAGTTCAATTCAAATTCTGTTTCCCCACAGTATTCAGTAATTACAGTAAAAATCCACACATTTACTTATAGATTTGGTAGGTGATAACTATTACTTGCAGCTTAACTTCAAGAATTATCCCCCTTCCAGTAGATAATCAAGTCAACAATATTCATTTCATCTGTGATGGGAACATATCTAGTGGAAAACTTTTGCAATGAATATCAGTCATATTCACCTCCAAGTCTGTGGGTTATGATCATGAACTGTTCTTCATGTTGATAATTTTACTTCTGTCCCTCTACAGGGAAGTTAACAAAGCTACTCCAGAAATGAGGGCAAAGTTACAGAAACTGGTGGAAGTGGGACTGCTGGGCTTTGCTCAGTGACCCATCTTAAATTCCTGGAGCTGAACTCAGATATTATGTACCAAGAGAGCAAAGAGAAATGAGATTATTGTGCTTAAACATTAGAATGGATTTATCCACTGTGCTAACGTACAAAAAACAACCTTGTGGATAGTGTCATTTTGATGGTTACTAAGCACTTTATCAATCTTTTAATTCTCAGTACCTTCACAAATCCCCTCACCACTTAAGTCATTAAAGAAAACTGCTTCAACAATATTTTTCCTTACCGTTACTTACAGTGGCAAAACAACAGATACCTACTGGAGTGCATACCAGGAAACAGACTGTACAAAAACTTATTTGGAAAGAAAAAATCCTCTTAAAAGCTACCCATAACTTAACAAATAATCCTTCTGCAATACTCTCCAAGGCCCTATTGCAACTGATTAGGTGGCGAATCTGACAACTGTTACACACTACTATTAGCATGGGCAAGCAAGTGAAGTAAACATGTTTTTGATAAGCAGATCTACGAATGAACACGGGAAAGTGTCCACTATTTGTGACTAGAAGCTTTTAACCTTGTAGAGGTTACACATTCCTGTTGTGACTGAATGAGTTTGAAATTCCTTTTTAAACTGAGTGGCACTCTGACTGCATTAAATACAAAAGAGTAAGAGTGCCCACAGTGTTACAATCATCATGTTGATAATAAAGTTGAGATTAATGCATCATAGGATATATCATTTTTCTGCATTTAATTATCAATAACAAATAGTGAAGATGTATAGAAAACAAGGGCTCTCTTCAAGAGGAAAATTAATCTTTATGCACATTAAAATATAAGAGGTCAATAAAAATTGATTCTTTAAATGAAGGCGTCAATTTAGGATTAGAAAAGAACTTTATTAGTTAGCCTGCCTTGTAGAACAGAAATAATTATTTTGCTTTGGTGGCATCTGTAACATCAATGTTTTGGGTCAACACAATTTGGGCTACAATCTCTGTAAAATAAGACCATTTCTGGCCACTAATGACACTTAACACAGGTAATAACAATTCTCTAGCAATCCAGTAATTTTTTTCCTTTGATCACTACCAAGATTATGGATAAGAAATAAAGAGGGGGAGTATTTTTAAATAATTAACAGTAGATCCTGTATACTTTTACAAAACTCTACAGCTCCAACTTATTGTTATTCAAAATTCAAAATAGTTATTACATTTCCATCCCAAGTCAACCAGTTTTGTTGAAAGTGTGATGCACTTAAAGAAAACAGGACAAGCTGCCATGTTGATTTTGTTCATTTGTGACATCTTGCAGTCCACAAAATACAATAGAAAACTAGTGGTTAACACTTATTCCAAGCTGATAACATAGCCAGTTGATTCTCCAGCAGTAACTTAGATGAGTTGAAATGTTTTCTTCAACATTCACTGTTTCTGATTTTTTGTAAGCGATTCTTGTTTGATTTTGTAATCATTCAGTGCAGCCTTGATAGCATCCTCTGCAAGCACTAAAATAAGAAGCAATCTTTGTCCATTAAATAAACTGCACAAGTCCTTAAAGAATAAGTATAACAGTCTTATTTCATAAAATATGAACAAAGGTTTTTCTTTCTACAAGACCTTCCATGAAAACACAGGTTATCATTAAGATATTGTAAGATCTCACCCTATGCCTTACGCACAAGAAACCAAAGGATTAATAAAGATTACCAAGATCTACATATAACAAACATGATAGGTGAAAAATGCTAACAGAAAGAGCTAACTGGAGGCTATAGCTACAGTTTGCACCTTTGATAAACCAGTAAACAAAATTCATGATTGGCTTAACCCATTAGGTCACCCCCTAATTCCTATAGTAGCAACACTGCTCTCCATAACATCAAGTTGCAAAATTGAAAAGGTCATTTAATTGTCAGTGAAAGTGTAAAATTGCTTTGCCAACTCAGGGTATCCATAATGAAGTGTTAGCTGATGTAGGGTGCCTTTAAGACTGACATAAAGGTAAGCCAGACATGGTAAGAACTCTTGTGACTAACTTTTGTTGGCTAGATAGCGCTTAGATGAAGGATCTACTGCAGCAGTGGCAACACAAACTTACTTGAACAGTGAAGTTTCACAGGTGGAAGAGACAGCTCCTTCGCAATCTCTGTGTTCTTAATATCTTTAGCATCAGTTATCTAGAACAAAAGAACATCAAATATCTACAACATACAAAGGATGTGGCTTGAAAGAAAAATAGCCTAGTTATCACTACTTTACAACCTCCAAGACAAACACCAATGTTCAGTTAGTTGATTTTAACCCTCTGACTCCTAAGAGTGAGTGACCAGCCTCTAATTTCTCCCTACAATATCACCCTTAAATCAAACATTAAGGTCATGAGAACAAAAGAAATTATTAGGAATTCAATAAGCTCTTGATCGTTGGACAAACTCTCTTGGTCAGCTCCTAAGGAAATGTATACAGAAATGTATGAAAAATAGTATGGGGAATATGTATTTTGATGTTAAGGCGTAAATGGTTCATTGATTCAAGCAGTTGTCCTTACTGTTTTTCCTTTCACCCATTCAGTGGCAAGGGAACTTGAAGCAATGGCTGAACCACATCCAAATGTCTTGAACTTGGCATCCACAATTTTACCATTTTCATCAACCCTGATCTGAAGGAATAAGCTCTGTTTAAATTTACCACGCAAATACTAATACATTCCTTGTGAAACATTTTGCAAGGCTTTCTCCATCTTGATCACTCCTTATAAAGTTCTTTAGAAACAAATTTCACAATTGTGAGGGCCTATACACTGAATGCAAATATGGCGTCCAATTGGAATTGCTATTGTTCTGGACTCACTAGCCTCGTCTTCACGTGGAAACACAAAAGGATTATTACAAGTGTGAGAGGCTAGTGAGTCCAGAACAATGGCAACTTAAATTGGACACCATATTTGCATTCGGTGTATACAAATTTCAATCATCCCACTGAATTTCACTGACTGCAACCAAAAACAAAAGAAACTATAAGCCACCATGCAGAGAGCCATGCAGAGCCCTTTCAACCTCATTTGATACTAGTGTTACTGCACTCTTTGTGCTGACAATAAAATTTAAAACATCATTTTCAGTTATAATGATCTACTCCTGATTCAAAGATGAAATAAACAATTTTTAATATAAGAGAAAAATCGGGCTTCCAGATGGGAAGATCTGGAAACTCGATTTTTCTCTTACTCCTGATTTGAGCTTAGATATATCTTAGATATCTTCTGAACAAAGACAGTACAGTACTGTTGTGTTCCCATGACAATTTTGGATTACAGACAGCTGCTCAGTGTGTCTAAGAATTCACATTTGTTTGAACTTACAAAAATCAAAAACAAACCTGAAGTTTCATAACATCTCCACAAGCTGGAGCACCTACAAGTCCAGTGCCAACACTGGCATCATCCTTATCCATGGATCCAACATTCCTTGGGTTTTCATAATGGTCAATTACCTGGTGAACAGGTTAAATGAAGATGTGTAAGAAAAGTCCACGAGTCAGACCTGCCTGTATGGTAAATCTTGACAGAATCCTTTTTGAGGAAATGATCTCACCCTTGTGAAGTTCTATTTGCCAACATTAGAAAAACTGCCAGGCCCAATTAATTATCAATAAGGAAAGACCTCATTTGCAATTGCTCTCAATGCAAGTTTACAGAATGAAATAAAATACCTGATACCAGTACTACTTCAGTTTTGCAACTGAGGTGTTTCTTCATCTACAAAACAGTCTCAAACTATGGTTTAATAATGGGAATCAGAGCTTTGATGGTAATAAAGAAAAGATCTTATAGAGAAACAAATTTTGGAGAACACAATACATGATTCAAATAAGAATTTATTAACTTTGTTCTCCCACTCTGTTGATGTCATAATTAATTATCCAACTGCACAAATCAAGTACAAATATCCTAAGATATTGCGCAGTTATTTAGACCAAAGAATAAAGGGGGTGAGTTTCTAAAGAAATTGTGGTGCTGCTTCAGCAGAGAAGTAAGATAAACTTGGTTGTAAATTGGCCATTGTTACAAATTTAAAAGCTGACATGGTTGTATGTGTTTCTATATGCAGAAAACTAAGACAGTTAGTTATGTTGAACTGTAAAAAAACCCTTTTTAATAGGTTGGCTATGTTTGCGTGAGGTTGTAGAAGAGGAGAGAAAAAATCAGGTTGTTGCATAATAAAAAACTTCTTAGACGTTTTGGAGCATAGTGACGTTTAGTATTTTCATATACTCATTGTTTTTATGATGCAACTTGTAAAAGTACTCAGCGATACTATACACCAAAACTTCTGATGGGAAAGATTTCCGTATAACCCCATACCAATCAAAAACAAAGCCGTAGTCCCAAAGGAAATCTGTTGTTTTGCCTCTGCTTTCCTTTATCCAAGAGCTGAATGCATAATGAAGTATGGGGTTAGACGGAAATCTTGCCATAAGATGTAATTAACCATGAAAAAAAAAAAAAACTACAACGACACATCATACTTAAAGGAAACTGTAGAAGGTACATTACATATGAAGGATTCCTATGAAAAGTTCTAGAGGAATAAGGTTTGAGGTACTTAAAGACGCACTTCATCAAACGTGAATAAAAACGTGACTCAAAAAATAAGCCAAACGATTTGATGTTGACTCGTTTAGAACTCGAAAAACAATCTTACGGGATCTATTTTCTCCGCCTTAACAATGGAGTATCTTCAAATAGCAGCCTTTTAATGCTGGTTTCAACAACAAGATTAACCAAATACAAATCTAATCACGGCCTTGTAGGTTTGAGCAAAGAGAATATTTAATGATCACGTCCGATTGGCACGTGAGCTATAAACAGCTCGCTAAACTAACTTTTCACTCCGCATCTAGCTCCCAAAAGCTAAAGATAAAGGCACAACTTACATTCTTGTGATAGGCTGCAGCTGCAATCCTTTTACTTAATCCTGTCTTTGCTAGGTTCCTAAGACTATGGTTGAAAAGTGCCATTTTCGATTCGTTATGCAAGACTGTTGTCTTCTCAAACCGTAATACTTTTTCTTCGTGACTTAACAAATGTACTCAAGTATCAGAGGCCGCGGTAATTCGAAACCGCGGGCGCACAAGGGCTTTCTCAATCACCTCGGTCTCAATCCCACTCCTCATATCTCGCGCGCATGGATTATCAGTGTTAACGCCTTTGTGACGTGACTTACTCTCTACTTCTTGCTCTCTTCAGTTCTTCTGCACTAACAGTTGCGCATCAACACGACAAATAGCTAATCACTTTCTTCCTACTGATTTCCTGATTTTTGCGCTGTTCCGCATCAACAATGCTAAGCCAGGTGAACTCTGATAACGTGGTCATCTTTTTAGTTTCCCACTCGTAAAACTAGTACTTGGCTTATGAAAGGTGGTTTAGGATAGGAGGAGCCTTTAAATTTCCCAGTTTTGCTCTGTTATCGGTGGAAGTACTAAACCGCTTTCCGCGACACATTTCGTCGGGTTGAGATGTTTAGATTTCACTAGTGCACATAAAAAATCCAACACAAGACCGGGAACTGGTCAACTGGAGCACTCTAAAAGTGGAAAGCTAAGTATCGACTGCTTCTTACCCATACATTTAAAATATAAGAAATCTTCAAAACTCTTTACGATGGCCAACTTACATTTTCAACTCAGTTGACATATCAAAATTACCTTGTCATAC